CCCCCCTCTTTCCGTCCTCCCCAAAAAAGTTCTCAGCGGATTTGGGCTGTACTAAGCAAGTGCAGTACAGCCCCGAACTCAGATTAAAAAAACGTTCAGTGGATGGCCCTCTAGTGACTGGTCAGCGTCGGCGGTAGGCTGTTTGACAACTCTGCTTTTTATTATGTTTTATAAACAAAACTTCTTTTGATTACTTTACCTTACGGATATTCTCTGGCGGCCGCAAGAATACCCTCCTCTGGTCTGCTGGCGAAACAGATGAATGGAGAGGGAGCAACCAACTAGATCTCAATCCACCAAACCTTGGCGAGACCGTAAGCCTGTCAAGCAGCGCCTGAATTTCTGCCACACCCTGTAGTTGACAAGCACACCATAGCAAGCCCCGATGTGATTTGTTTAATGACATTATAGTATGATTATACACAGTTTCTAAACACTAAACAGTCCTGAGCACACACAGACAATTTGAGGTGAAAACACCCTTGCACAGGCAAAAGCCGCAAAACATGGAGAATATATACAGCATCGTCGTCCCCGATCTGCACAAACAGAAAAAGCAAAAGTAAAAAAAAAGAACAAAGCCCTAGGTTGGGCAATCAGACCCAACAGGGCCGACACACAAAAAGAACTGCTAAAAGAAAAATTATCCACAAGGCCCAGACGACTGGCGATTTGGCCTCGATCTTCGCAAAAATGGCCAAAAGGAACTCTCATGATGGCCAACTCTGACATGATGCCGCCAAGCTTGGCCAACTATGAGCTGCTTTGGGAGTCCTTCCCATCTCGAACGCAAGAGCTTGAGGGGTGACGATGTTTGGGCGGATGGCGTGTTGATACGCCAGAGAAGAGTGGGACTTCTTCTGTACCTTCCTACCTGCACTCACAGACCTAGAACTGATATCAAACTGGTACTACGTTTAAATTTTGAACAATTGGTTTGCTGGGCATGAGATGGGGCAAAAGCTTTATCCACATGAACTCGAGCAATAATCAGCTGAATCGGGCGGTTGAGGGCTCTGTGGAAGCGGAAATTTAAAGGCAGACAAGGTTAACGAAATGGATCTGAAAGAGCCTCTCATCTTCAAAAGAAAGAATAAAAATCACTTGCTTTCCAACTGGGGGTCGATGACCTCCCAACTGATGCCAGCCGACTGGTCGCCTGGTCGGCTGGTCGGCATCCAACCGGTCAGCAGTTGCTGACAGCCGCCGTAATGGCAGACAACGTTAACGAAATGGATCTGAAAGAACCTCTCATCTTTGAAAGAAAGAAAATAAAAACCACTTGGCTTTCGCCGGGGGTCGACGACCTCCCCACTGATGCGAGCCGACTGGTGGACTGGTCGGCTGGTCGGCATCCAACAGGTGAGCAGTTGCCGACAGTCGGCGTGACCACTCTGAGCAAGAGGGAAAAGAGGAAGGAGAGGGATCAGAGGGTTGGGTCGCCAGCATCCAAATTCCATTCACTCCACTTGAAAGTCCAGAGGCGATTAAACCGTCTGCAGAAGGCTGCACTTAGGGGCTGGCCCCACAGGTGCTATGTTCATGATTGGAAAGCATGGACCTGGCCATAACAGTGGCAAGGTTCGTGCTTTCCTGGCATGGACATACAATCAACAGAGGCTGGCCGTCACTGCACAGCGAAGGTGGTTATTGAACTTCAGTAGCACTTTTCAGAAAGTGTGCGAATTTGCACGCCTTCATTGATAGTAATTATAGCCTCTTCTGAGTCTTCTGTCGTTTTCCCCCTAACATAACGCACCCTCATCATGGCAGTATCGGCCGGAATGACAGTTTGTATTACTTTGTATACATTCATGATTGGGTTACTTTGTGTATGGGGGAAGACAGTAGCGTGAGGGTAGGACCACTTGGTGCTTGCAAAGTGTAAAAGAGGCCTGCTGTGGTCCACAACTTTTTATCAAGTTTTTAGTGACGAGGTGTTTCACGAGGTGGTAAGTCGTTAGTGACGGCGTGTTTCAGAGGTAGTCGTGGGGATGGTTGCCAAGCAGAAGGGGAAGCGAAAGGGAAGGGGAAGGCTGAGCAAGTGCGGAGGGTGATTTTATGATGTTGATGTGTTGGCACTTCAATCAACTGGCTGGTTAGAGAGTCTGTCAAATCACCTTCACAGAGAGAGAGAGAGAGAGAGAGAGAGAGAGAGAGAGAGAGAGAGAGAGAGAGAGAGAGAGAGAGAGAGAGAGAGAGAGAGAGAGAGAGA